AGCAGCCGCTATTTCTCTGTTTAATCTTCTTGTTTACTTACTCTTACAAACTTCTAGTGTAAATCGTTCTACATGTCAGATCTGGGATATAACATCAAGGATCTAATATTAACACTTCAAAGTGATCGGCTTATCCGCATTGAGCTTAAGTCCCGACTTAAAGCGACCAAGCTTAAGAATTAATAAAAATGACAACACCCAAGTGTGCCGACAAGTTCTTAAGTTTGACTCACACCCACGCCCAAGGGGGTGATTAGCTCAAAATGAAATTAGAGAACATAGAAGAAGAAGAAGATAAATGCATAAGAAATACTTGAATTGAAATTTCACTAAAACTGTTGCGCACAGAGGGCATACAATGAACAAAAACATTACTGAAAATTAAATACATAAAGTTAAACTTTGCTCTACTGCTCCAGATCTTCAGTTGAGTAAATGCTCCAAGAGATGTCCTCCAAGTGAGAGTAAATGTTTCAATTTATAGGAGAAAATGAGAGATGGACATCCCTTTTATCCAAAGGAAGAAAGTCTTATTTAATCTTGAGGACAAATACTTCATCATAAATCATTCAAAATCTTCCGGCCTTGTCACCTTTTTTGAAAAGATGAAAAAGATAAAGATGACATTTCCCTTAAAATAAGAAAAAAAGGTAGAGATGATCTTTTCCTTAAAATAAGGAGAAATACATTTTAAGACATTTTTTTTATACAACAAGGCTTATTCCTTTAAATATTGTAAGATTTTCGGATTTGACTGCAGAATTAATTTTCTTAAATACCCAGAAAAACAAGTACTTAAATTTATCCAAATCCGCTTTGAATATAATACCGAAGTGGGCAGAAAGTAAGCAGATAGTGGGCAGTGGGCATTTTTCCAACAGTGACGATTTTTCAAAAAATAATCAAATCTTTGACCTTTCATCACCTCTTAAAACATTTTAGACCAAAAATACAAGATAGAAGCAAAGTGTGTACATAAAACATACAAAAATAGGAGTATTGAACAACAAATAACTCTCAAAACTGAGAGTTATCACTTATCGACAATCGATTTTAATGGATGTTGCCATGTTGGTGACTTGTTTGGTAAACGACCCTTGGTAGATCTCTTGATGAATTATTGGATGCCTCAAAGTGTGTCTTTTATAATCTTGTGGAATTATAGGAAAGATCTTACCAACTCCAAACTTTGATTTGTCTCGCAAGAAACAACCAGGTTGATCTCGAATACTTTAAGGGAAAAGATACAAGGGGATGGATTGTCAGTTAAATGGTGGATGACCAATCATCATCCTCGATCCCTGTTTGGCATGTTTCAACTTTCAAAAGTAAATAATCAGATGGAGAGTGTGTGATCCAACATTTCAATTGTTTAGTGATTTTTTTGAATAGAAGTCAGATTTGTAGAAAGTTTTGGACATTTTTTAAGGAGGGATGAAGACAATCTGATCACCAACCATCCCCGTATCTGATCCACCATAGTTGCCTACTCTGCATGGTTTGCACATACAGACTCCTTAGTCAGCATGCCACCTCCAATATATTACCAAGATCAAAGTTGTTAAAACTCAAAGCAGAAAGGGGTCTCGGGGACTAGGCACAGGCGGAAGGCACGAGCCTTAGGAATGTGGGGCTCATATAATACACACATACACACAGTTACACACAACTCAAGTATGCACCAAGTACAATCCTCCAATGCAGCAACCAACAGTTCTTTGATAGAGGCAGAAGGGAGAAGGGTTTAAACCGGAGGCTTGAAGTTCTAATGACCAGATATTAATATCAAGGTTTGACTTATATAATCTATCTAATAACTCTCTTTTTAAGAAGTCTAGGAGATGAGAAGATGGGAAAACTTATTTAGTATTAGGATTTGCTTAGCCATATAACAACTCTTTATGAGACACACATAGGCCCATAAGGCGCCACGCCTTAGTGAGGCTCGTAAATACGCCTAGCCTCGACTTTAAAAACCCCACGAACTTAAGCCTAATGAGCCTTAGAGGCTAGGTGCCTGCTTTTAACAACTATGACCAAGATATTCCAATAATGCCTGCAAAAGCCGAAGGCACGCCTGCCAACCATGCACGATCGTTGCCTCTAAGCTGAACATGCACTTAATGTTAGTGTACCATTCAAAGCATGTTGTTAGATCACATTTACTTTTAGGAATCGCAAAGCAGATTTTTACAAATCAGGCCATGTAAATCTTTCTATTTATTACATTGCACTGAGATGCCTCCATACATTATTTTGGCTGATTTCAAGAAGATCGTTAAACAAGCACTGACACACTCACTTATAAGTTCTACTGATATGAAGCTATTACTTTGAGGAAAATATATGTATATATTCATATGGATCTTATGCTTTTGTGAATGTATGAAGACAATACTTATAGTTTCTATTTTCTTATGTATGTGTATTTGTTTGTATATTATGTCCCAAGGTTCTCTCCTTAACTCTTGCATGAAGTTTATCCATTCACTAACTTGAAGTGTTTGAAGATAAAGAGGGTGCAACTAGACCATATACAGAAAATGCCCACTCAGGTGCCACTTTCATCATGGATTTACCTCATGATTGCATGATCTATGTATTTCACATCATATTCTTGTTTCAGTTGGAGATGTTAATCTGTCACATAAATAAATTGTTTTCATAGTAGATGTGAATAAATATCTAAATGAGCTTAATGGTTTAATGATATAAGCAAGTGGCTTATCAGTAAGCTTTTAAGAGAGAAATTTATCCATATAGGATGGAAAACCAACCAAACAACCCCTTGCATTGATATCAATCGAATGAAGAGTGGTAATTTATCAAGAATCTACAATGTCAATAGCAAAAAGTTTAAAACTCAACTTTGCTAAACCCAAGCTCTCAACTTCTTTGATTACAATGAGAGGTTGAATCATTACAAAAACAAGAGTAAGGCACCAATTGTCCCCCTTGTTTGCACAAACTCCACCAATTCCTATCAAATGGCCTTTATCCTAACGGTATGTGAGTCTTTGAAGGTCAGGGATTCAAACCTTACCAAAGGTGAAAAGGGTATGTGAGTTTATATATTCTATTTGCCGTATATAAATATTATATACTTCAAAAAAAAAAAAAAAAACTCCTCCAATTCCCATCCGCAGTTTCAAAATCTGTTATCTTTCCTCCTTTAAGTGAGCATTTCAATCATTTTTCATGTTATTGTAATTTATATTTGTTGTACAATGTTTATATACAATTTCTTTTATAACAGAAAAAACACAAGCGAAACAAAACCCAACCCCTTCCCCCTACACCTCCTATCATCCATTCTCGAGTCCATTGGAAAAATGACCATAAAAGAGATTGCAATTAGGATTCAGGAATTTATCCTTGTATACTGCAGGAGTTAGATTGCTTCCCCTTTTCTCTTCACTAATTTTGTTCTTCAAAAATGACTTCTTAAATTACGACACAAACCCGCTTTGGATTTTGACGAACGATGGTGCAACCATGCCAAAGGAGGTGGAGGGGATGATGGAAGGTTCGGATTAGTTCTTTCTAAATGCTTTAAACACATGACCAACAAAATATTTTCTTAAAAAATGAAAAATGAATACCCCTCAACACGACTAGCTTGCAAGGTCATTTAACAGCGGTGTTAAAGAGAAAATTGAAACAATGGGGATGACGCATGCAATTTAGAAACTGCAGTGAGAATTGGTTAGAGCTTGCACAAGCTACAGGGACGATTCGTATAATTAACTCTACACACAATTTAGGAAACAAAAACCTATTCGTGAAAGTGCGAGCAGAACCCAATATGTTGTACAACGGAAACATAAACAAAGATCCATTGAAAGCGAATCCGCATAAAACTCAGTCCTACGACTTGTTTTTCTAATACACAAAATAACCAAATGTTATTTGTATGATATCTATCATAAACATATATCCCTTTCGTTAGAACTTTGCTTTGCTTTGCTTTTGTGTTCATAATAACCTTTTTTGTCATATTATAAGTATTTCATCCAAGATTTCCATTAAAAAACAATTGAAACCCATAAACAAACTGTTAAATGGTCAAAACATATAGGACCTAAATAACTACAAACAACATCAACCAAGAATGCTCATAGGAGTAGATACCCTCGAGACAAAAACATGTCCCAAAATCCCACCAATGAAATTAAGACACATCAAATTTTATATATTTCAAATTTATTTAATTTTTGATGATGTGTATTCATGTAATCGATGGACCAGAATGTTATCCATACATCTATAAAGCTGCAATCTAAGAAATGAAGATATGGTAGTAGGAAGTTATGGAAGCCCATTGAGAAAGATGTAAAGCACTCAAACGGCCTTACAATTTGGCAATAAAAACAAACTAATCTAGTAATCCCACGCGTAGTAGGGCTTGGAAATTTGTAAAATGTAGACAAATCTTTCCTACGCCCCAAGTTCTTGGTTCTAATTTAACAGTTGATAAAGAAAGTACCTTAATTTCAAGATGAATTTTCTTCTTGTTTCATATCTTGAAGTCTCTTCAGCAACTTTCTTTTAAATTTCTCAATTTCAGCATCTTCAGTGCATTGTGGAGTAGCCATGATTACTGAGATCGCTCCGGCACTTTGCAGAGCCCCAACAGCTTCATCTAACATATTACGAAACAACAGATGGAGAAATTTACATGGATTTCTAGTTTTTACTCGCAATTAAACGGATTACGAAAGTCTAACCAATCATTTAGACTAAAGATAAACCCGCAAAATAGAGAATGAAAAATGGTATAATAGAACTTAAAGTTGTTTTAAATTGTCCCTTCAGCCCTTGTATTCACATTTTTTATCTTATCATGCAGGAAACGACTTTAAAAGATGATGATTACGGAGAATCAGGAAGAAGAGAACTCTACGCATATGCAAATAAACTGGCATTTATTTTAATTCCATATACCAACAAAGGAGGATCAAATCAGTAAAAGATTCTGACCTGAACGAGCAATGGCAATAATAGCATTCAAAGCTTCTTTGCGTGTTTTATCATCTGTAGCAGCACCCAACATATCCACAAGCTGTTGTGCCCCACCCATCTCCACAATCTTCATTCTTCTTTCATCTAAATCAACACGATCATACATTAAGAAAGGTTTCACACTTTTCCATGGAGGACAAAAGCGTAAACTATAAAGTCTATGAAAATTGTAGGTAGAGCATCCCCCCCCTAAAAGAGGCCCTCAAAAAAGAAGTGTCGGAATTAATGACCAGCGCTTAAGCCGGAGTTGCTCCACTATGTATCTTTTTTTTTTACTAATCCCATGGGCCATGTAGATATAGACTCGATCTGGTGACCTACAGGAAGGAGCCCCAAGGCCTAGTTGAGCCGGCCCCGTAAGTATAAATCAGTCTTCCATAAAATGTAATGCCCAATACTGAAACCAATAACTGGAGCAAGCTACAAGAATATGAACAGTCTGATCAAATCTAGGTTGGAAGATTAGTTGTCGTGATTCTCTGATATTTTAACCTCAGACCCTACTTTTGAGTGGAACATACTGGGTTCGTTTTGTTTCGTTATTTTTTCATATTTAATCGCATACATGGATTGAGTCGCTAGGTACATAAGGAAATATGAGATGATTGCAAGTCATGGACAAACATATACCACAGGAATTTAAACAAATACACATAACAGGAATTTATAATTCACATATATCAACTATACCATCTGTTGCAAAACGAGCTAATCTGGATGCTCCCATCCTTTTAAATAGCGGGTCCTTGACGTTTAGAAGTGACACAGACTGGTGAATCAGATTATCACCTAAAAAGATCCATTATTAAAAAGTCTTGCCAATGAAGATCCAAATGCAGTTAAACTTTAATTAGTCTTTCAATACTACATAAAGGACCTTCCACTCCAATATAATATGTCTGCTGGCACAGAGATGATAAGAAAAAGTAATGGGTCATTGATTTAAGAAATAAATTAATACCCAAGTAAGGAAATATATGGTATCCACCGATTGTTGCAGTCCCAATAAAGATAAGTTTAAAAAGCCATCCTATTTTGTTTTCAGCCTCCTCCTCCATTGCTCGTTCATCTGGAACAAAATACAAGTGTACCTCAAGCAAACAGTGGAAGTATGTGTATACTTCCAAACAGACAATGCTAATAACAAATAATGAAATAATTATGTTGCATACTTGCACAGTCAAAGTTTGAAATCAGTGCATAGAGAACATGTTGATATAATGGAGGAATCAAACTAAGACAACACGACATTAAAGTCCAAATATCCTGTTAAAATCAAGATCCTAACTTTAGGCAAAGTAAGAGCAATCTATCTATTTATGCATTGAGGGTCATACGTCTTTTCTTGGATTTCTCACATCTTAATTAATAATGTAAGCTTCACATATAAGTGTTTGAAGTGAAAGAAGATTAGCCTTGAAGGCTTTCATCATAGGTTAAAAGCAAGCCTCTACCTCGCATTGGCATTAGTTTGAAACCTGTACAAATTTTGCCATTGCCTTCCTACAAGTTCTTGTTATTTCTCCAGTTTTTCTTGCTACATTTCCCTATTAGAATCTTTTTATCACTCTAAACATTAAGTCTTCACAGAAGTTGTTATACCCTTTTGGGGCAGAGGACAGATCTACATACATCCCATCCGACCGTACTTTCGAGTGTGATATATACCGGATTCGTTTGATTTAGTTTGGTTTATCACTCTAAACATTAGCCATAACCTTCCCTAGAAGTGACTGAAGCCAAATACCATATTCAGGTGGTGGTTAAGGTGATGATAAAGCCGTGAAGGCCAAACAAAATAAGGGTTTCAGGCATCAAATTGATGTACATCCAGGTTGTGGTGTTAATGAAAGGCGGAGCTCTAAGGTAGGGTACGTTATCATTTTCCACATGTTAACAATTCAAATAACCCTTAATGATCTCAATAACTGCTAAAGATCCTAAAGTTTTTGAGAAAATCCAATGACTACATTAAACGTGAATAGGAAACACACAACAAAAAGACTAACAATCATTAAGCTCATTGTTCAGAATAAAATTACCTCTTTCATGATATGACGACGAATACTGACGTGATCGAACATTAACCGGTCTTCTTTTGCACAAATACTGCAATCAAGCAGCCAAAAATTGAAACTACCAAAGAGTCCACCAAATCAACATACAGAAGGATGAACGAAGTAACAAACTCAAAGGATGTGTGATAATGGAGATTCAGTCATGTAACTTCCAAATCACACAAATCAATTTTTCTAAAATAATTTCTAGGAAGAATCATCAAATATATTCAGATAGAGAGACTTACGAAGCGGAGTTGAGCTGCTAAACCACGGGAGAAAGCCATTCCAAGTTTCAGTTACTTGTGTGGTAATCAACTATAGATTGTATGCCGCACTAAAAACAAAGGATCAGAAGGGTATTAGTATGGGGAATCTAATCAGCCGTATACACCAACATAGAAATTTACCCAATCATGTATAAGTAAAAATAAGCTAATAAGAGAATGAACCATTAATTCAGATATCAATGTATCATGAACCAAATTACCTACTATAATTAAAAGTAAACAGAAAATAAAGTGATTGGCAATGCTGGCTTGTGATAGAAAACTATTTCCGTATCAGATGAAGCAAAAAACACATTGCTACATTCAGATGTGGCAGAAAATTGGACTGAAGCAATGTAGCTAATAATCGAAAGCATCAAATCAAGACGAAAATGAAACCAACAAGACGAAGAGCCTGCTTTAGATTTCCATAAATCGACTCGAATTTAGGCGATTTAGCTCACAGCAAAACCCAATATGAACAATTACACGTAGTGAAAACATACATCTGGAGAGAGAGAGAGTACCAGGTGTTATTCTTTGAGTTGTAGAAGGAAGAGGGTGGTTCGGCGGAACGATAACAGGCTGGTGCACATGGATTCGGGTTTGGGTGGTTCCGGTACTTGAATTAGAGGCGATGGAAGATCCAGGCCTCTTCGATTGAGAGATTCAAGTGTGGTAGGGTTTTGAGACGACGTTAGTGAGATTCAAGGGATTTCGTTACCATACCTTGGCATTGTTTTCCATTTCAGAAAAACGGCGGTTAATCGCCTTTGTACCAAGATGCTGTGAAGATTGTAGACACGCGGAAGAAGGAGATTGTTTGTGAAGCTTCAACTCGTCTCGTCGATGACTGGATTTTGGGGTAATTTGAAATCCTCTAAAAACAATTGGGGTTTGGTGGGGGGAGTTGGAATTGGAAATTGGAATGGTAAATTTCATATACAAAATTTCATTATAGGTTTTAGTTATTTATAGAATTGAATTGAATTCCAAAAATTCTCAAATTTGAAGAATTAACAATTTCTTATTAAAACTGATGAAATTAAAATACATTACATTCAAAAGTATGTAAATGACATAAATACACTCATTTCTTAAACCCTAGCCGCTCTATTAAAGAACGCTAATTTCATCAACCACTGCTTTCATCGATCGAATGCTGCTTTCTACTTTCTATGATTTTATCGAACGTTGCTTTCTGCTTTCAGGTATCGATCGAACAGTTATTGCTTTGTTTCTCAAACCTGCTTTCTGCTTTCATCTCTCAAGATATGAACTGCTACTGCTTCGTTTTCTACTAGTTCTTTCTGATTTTTGATTGCTTCCAACCTATTTCTGATTTCTGCTACTTTTTGCCTTTATGTTTGCTTCAAATTATGCTACTTCTTTTTGTTTCAACGAGGTAATGCTTACTGGTTTATGCTTTTGTTAATAACTTTCTGTTTGCTTTCTACACTCATCAATTTCTGCTACTTCTTTTTGCTTTCTGTTTGCTTCGAATAAATATATATGTGTTTGCACAATTATCTTATTTCTGAACTATGGTTAATGCCTTGTGAGTTCTAGGTTATGTACATAAAAATTCTTTCACTCTCATGCAAGCACTACAATTTTTTTTGATGAAATTTAGACTTTAGAGTTATATTTTATGGGAGGAGGCACCCGCACCTAGGGGTGCTCACGGCCCAGGTTGATCGGTTTGGAGCCGTTTTAACAACCCAACCTGACGTTGGCGGTTTGAAAATTTTCAATCCAACCAAACTCAAACAAAAGTTCAACCCAACCCAACCCGTTCGGGTTGATCGGGTTGTGTTTAAACAATGTAAAATCACATAAAAATAAAGAAAACTTTCATTTGAAATACGACCGACCATTCAAGATAATATGCAAGTTCATCAAATATTTAGATATTACAATAAAAATGTTTAAACCAAATGATAATACATCAATCAACAACAATAGTTTTAGACGTTTCCAACCCCGATGCTTTCGTTTTCTAGATGTTGAGGTTGGTCATGTCATGATTGTCATCTACAATTCAAAGCTAAAGTTAAGGTCGGGTTCATCGGGTTGTCGGGTTGGTCGGGTTTTTTTGGGCCTAACCCGATTCCTACCCAATAAGGTCGGGTTGGCTAATTATTCTATCGATCATGCATCGGGTTACCTCGGGTTGAGTTTTTTTTTTTTAAATCGGGTTGGGTTGGTCAGGTTCATCGTGTTTTTGAGCACTCCTACCCGCACCCACTACCATTTTCATGTTTGCAAAATCATAATTGTTAGCCGATGATGAATCTTTCCTTGGACGAAGTTGCCTTTTATTTGACAAACATTAAATTATAATTGATGGGTCTTTCATAGGTTTTTTTTTCATCCTGCATTATTGAAAGCATTACATGGTTTGGACTACATTACTTTTATGTGACCATATATCATTTAGCAATTTGATCACTGGTTTAAGTTTGAAATGTGTATTGTTTCCCTTACCAACAGTCAACTATTTTGTCAATTGTTGCCCCTATTCCCATATAGCATCAGTGTTAGGGGCTGTTTACTAACTGCTGACCGGACTGACTCGGTCAGCATATCTGACTCGGTCAGCAGTCAGTGTGTTTACCAAATCACGAATCTGACCGAGATCTGACCGAAATGCTGACCGAAATCTTACCCCGTCAGCTTCGATTTCATGCTTACCCGAGTCAGATTTCACGTTTCCATACTTGCCCTCTTTGTCCCCCGTCACTCTCGTCCCTTCTCCTATCTCCCACTATACATCTTCTTCCCCTTTGGGTATAGGTTTGTTTTGAATCATGTTTTTTAGATCATAGAAGATAACAAGAAGGGGAGGATTTTCAGATCTAGTCTGGTTTTGAATTATTTCGAATCTGGGTTTTGGTTCAAACTCGTCGGTGGTTGTGGTCTTCAACTTTGGTAATCAGAGATATTCAGGGAGATTGGGAAAGAAACGAGAACATAATGGGGAAAGGGTTTGCAGGTGTAAAGCATTCTCAAGTCGTGGAGGGTTTTCTAATTGTTAAAAAGAACAAGGTGAGGATTTGAGGTTTGCAGATGATTTGAGGGTGGGTGCTAGAAGTTTTGTAGGTGAGGGTAGGTGAGGGGCACTTGAGTGTTTGTAGGTGAGGAGCATTGGAGGATTTTATATTATATTAATATATATGACATTAAACATTATTATTTAAATAAAATTAATATATTAAACTTTTAAATAAAATTAATGTAATTCATGACGTTTTGTATAAAGTATATTGTAATGATGTAATTACATGAAAAAAATGCCTAATCAATATATAATTATGAATAAGGTTATAATGGTCATTATATTGTTGGTAAGAACTTACCAAAAATATTTGGTAAACACTCTTAATCGGGATAGCACTTACCGGGATAGCACTTACTCGGGTCAGCACTCTTACCCGGATAGCACTTACTCGTTTATAAATACGTTTTGTTATATATAATATATATATTATATATATATGCTACTTCTTTTGCTTTCTATCACTAATCAACTGTGTGTGTATCTATACTACATATATAAGCATTTAAGACAAAGTCTTAATTACAACTCTTGAAGCCTAAAGTACTACCATTTTATGCAACAATTTCAAAAATCTCTTAATTACAAATTTTTATGCATAATGTACAAGCTTTTTATGCAAGTATTTCCACAACATCAAATTTTAATTGGGTCAAACTTACCTTTTTTCTTATCAGACTTATAAAATTACCCATTTGGGACGATTTCTTCTCTTCTGTATCTATGTCTGCGACTGAGACCAAAACACCAAAACCAAATCTTCCTTCTTCTTCTTCTGTGATTTTTCTCAGATGCGACCAAAACATTTTGTGTTAGATAGCAGATACTTTTTTTCTTCACATACATCGTTTGACACAACAATGGTGGTTTTGATGTATCACCTCGATTAGATGTCTGATTTCATGTATCAAAGGGATTTGATGTATCACAACCTCATTGATACATATAACTCCCTCTTCCCTGTTGTTTTAATCTCACATTTCTTCAAAACCCTAGAATTTTCATTTCAATTTTAATTTGGAGGTATGCGATATTGATTTCTATTTCAATTTTGTTGATGAGATTTTTAATTACTTTCTCTTCTTTTTGGGTGTTGTTAAATCTCCCACAAAGTGTGGTACTGTTGGTATTCAAGGGATTGCTTGGGCTTTTAGGGGTATGATCTTTGCCCTTGTCTACTGCACTGCTGGTATCTCAGGTATTTCTTGAACTATTATCTTTAATTTCTTGCAATATTTCTCATACCCATGTGGTTTCTTGAACTATTATTGTTAATTTCTTTAAGTTAGATGAATGGTTGAATAAACAATCTTTCTCAAACCCATGTGGTTTCTTTTATGTTTTTCGGTGATAGTTTCTCTTGATCTATGTGAATTTGAACAAAAGATGATGGTTTAGTARTACCCTTTTCAGCTTTTGAGGTATTTCTTGAACTATTATCTTTAATTTCTTTAAGCAAACCTTAGTTAATGCTTAGAACCTGGTTTCCTTGGTGTTTGACATCAAACAGTTTCAAAAATCAGTTTTTTTTGGTTGAAAATGACCAATGCATAGTGCAGAAATATGAGAATACAATATTATAGGTATTTCTTGAACTATTATCTTTAATTTCTTGCAATATTTCTCAAACCCAAGTGGTTTCTTGAACTGTTATCTTTAATTTCTTTCAGTTAGAGAAATGGTTGAATTTTTTATGGACAGATGGCATTTTAGCAATCTTTCTCAAACAAAAATGGTTGAATATTCATGCAAATGCTTAAATAATTTTTGATATCAAACAGTTTCTCATATTGATAATTTTTGGGACTGCATTCTTGTTTGGGACAGTCGGTATGCATTCTTGTTCGGTCTGCATTCTTGATATCAAACAGTTTCTGTTTTTGAAAAAAAAAAAATTCAAATTGTTGGTTTGGTTGATTATTTGGACTGGACTGGTTTGGTCTGTGCTAAAGTACAGCTTTACAACATGAAAATATAAACTTATTCATGCTATAAGAACAAAGTCATAGTACAATATACTTACATAGCTAAATGTTTATAGTTTATTTATTGCATCCAAACTTTCAAATACTCCTATAGACTTGCAATCAACATGAAAACATTAACTGGTAGTAGTAGTAGGATGAGCAATGTGCACATACATACCCCTGTGCCTGTTGCTGCAATACATACATACCAGATATCAAACATATTATAGATTTAATTAAGGACTTGTTAGTTCTTTGATATGCTTCAGCCAGGAATCTAACAAACAAACCTTTATTTGTCTTGTTTCTACTTAACAGGAACTGCTTTTGTTTTAACATTGCAAATTTATGAAACAATTATGTGAAAATCATGTTTGACATGAGAGTTTTTGATAGTTCCATTTATATGTCTATATGAACAAACTTGATTTTATATATCAGTTGTATTAAGTTTAATTGTCACTTATTGGCCCTTACAAGCAGATGTGAATGTTACAGAGCTAATGGTCTATTATTGCAATAATGTAGTGAAGAACCATGCTTGAATGTAAATAATATATTTGATTCCATAAATTATGCTTATTAATTCAACAGTATGAAACCTGCTTTATATGGTTTTATCCACAAATCACATGCTTGCACATACATCTCTTTTGGATGTTCTTCTGCTAATGCATGCTTTCAATTATATATTAGTTGACTTATAAACTATGTTGTTACTGTGGTCAAAATACAAAATATTGGTCAAGACCGATATTCGATATTTCGGTCTAAAATAGCGGTTAATATAATATTTCTTAGAATTAAAATATATATATATATATATATATATATATTATATGTATGCATCCA